CCCTGCTTCGGCTGGTGGGGGGGCCATCCCTGCTGCCCTGCACCCCAAGGGGGCTCTGCATGAAGCCCTGAGGCCGCACCAGAAGCAGAGAGTCCCGGGGCTTTTCTTGGAGTGTTTTGTTTTTTGGGTTTTTTTTCCTTAAAGGGCTGGAGCTGGCCTGGGCAGGGCACTTGTGGGGGGGCTGGGGAAGTGGGGAGGTTTGGGTGCTTGCGCAGAGCCCCTCATGCAGCATGGGGTTGTGGGGGGCAGCAGGGATCTCCCCCCCCACCCAGCAGCACCCAGTGAGCACAGGGGCTTTTTTAAAAGTACAGAGCTGGGGCGGGCAGGGACAGCCATGGGGGAGTGGGTGGAGTCAGGGGGGCTGGCAGGGGTCCCCCCATGGTCCCCTCCTCCAGCCCCTAGTACTTACCAGCTGTGAGTTGGCTGCAGCTCACTGCTGCAGCCACCGGGGACTGCCCAAATCATCAGACATCTCTGAATCTTTTCCAAAGATTCGAAGAGTTTTGAATTGATTCAGACCTTTAAATTGCTCCCCTGATTCGATTTGGATTTGGAGATTCGGCCACTGAATCAGGCTGAATCTCCTCCAAATTGAATCGCCATCCGAAGCTTCACACAGCCCTAATGCTCAACACCTTTTGGCACCAACTCTTGCCTGAGAAACCAGATCTCTGGAAGTTCCCACAGTTCCTCTTCTGTTCCCCAACCCTTGCCATCTGGGGTACAAAGGGCAGCTTTTCCCTGGGTTGTCGGCTCAGATGTTGCTGCCTCTGAAACAAAGTGAACTCTGAGTTCAGAGGTTGGCAGTAGAGCCTAGATAGTCCTCAGAGAAGACTACCCAAGCTGAGGGTAGGGAACTCCCTTTCAGTTTTTAAGCACTAGGTGAATCCATTGATTCCAGGATCAGGGGCTTTAAATAAATAGGGGAGTATCTTGAGACCAGTCATATAGTCATACAACTTGGTAATACTGGTTGTAGGAAACATGCAGCCATATGGTCACAGCAGCTCAGGGTGATCTCAGTCATTTGCTGCATTCCCTGATGCACATTGCTCAGCCTCTGACCAGGGGAGTGCATTTGTGGCTAGGCAGGGAGTAGGGCCGCCCATGGCTGACAGGTGGCATGATGCCCTTTTACAGCACTTGTGAAATGGCTTTTAAGTGGAGTAGCACCAGTTTATGCCAGCTGGAGGGTCTGGCAGGGTCTGGTCCATTGCAGGTGCTACCCAAACCCAGGAAAGAAACCCCAGTAACTAGGAAGTCTGCTTTTTCATTTCCATCAGCTGGAGCAGTCCACATGAATTGGGTAGGAAACCTCAGCAGCCCTTTGAGCCCGGCCCCAGCACCCCAGTGAGAGCCAAACTGTCCCACAGTAGTAACTGCACCAGGCAGGTGAGAGTGGGACAAATACAGGATTATTAATCCCATTTTGAAGTAAACTGTGGCATCAAATGAACTGGATTTGTGCAGGACTTAGGCCTATGAGGGAGTTAACATCGGAAAGCCTGGCCTATATTTAGATGAGTAAACGGGAGCTGGCCCCACCTGCCTTTAGCCAAGGTTACGCAGGGGCCTGTGGCAGAGCCAGGAACCAGTCCTGCTCTTCAGAGCACTAGTCCAATGCTTTAGTTGCACCACCCTGGGGCTTGCTGACCCAGCATGGTCAAGTGACGTTCCCTGTACTGTTCCAGCACTGAGCCCAGCTGCTTTGAGAAGGGAGCCTGAGAGGGAAGTGTTCAGAGCAAAAAGGGAGGTGATGGCTTTAGTCGGAGATCTTCACCTTGGTATCTAACAGGTGTTACCTGGAGGGTGCTGCCAGCAGAGCTCTTTCTATTGGACCCTGACAGACCCTGCAGTTTTTGCTGGCCTGCTAAACACAGCCCTTGATGCCAAGTCTCTACATGGGAGACTCAGAAAAGGCCTTTCAGTTGCTGCTGGGGCTCTAGTGCCCTTGTTTGGCATCCGGCATCTTCTGGCTGTCACCTAGGCCCACAAGGCTTGTGCATCCTATGTGACCTGAATCCTGGGGGCTTGTAGCTCTCTGGGAGACCCAGAGTAGCCATTAGGTTTTGTGGCCTGTTTGTACTTGCAGAGAAGAGGCTGCACTTTGGCCAGGGCAGAGAGGCCTGCTGTGTAGGAGGAGGGCACATTCCCTGCAGGGACAGAAATCACATTAAAGTGTGCTGCAGGCTCCAGCTCCTTGGGAGCTCTTAGCAAGCCCAGTGCAAAGCTGGCCTGACCTCAGGTCTTTCAGTTTCTCTGGATTGGCACTAGTGTGGCTTCGGGCCAGTACATGGCATTTTGCTCTGCTAGGAGCAGGGTGTTCAATCTACAGGTCCCTCTCCACCAATATCAAATAACCACTCTGGGCCCTGTTGGCTGTGGGCCATTTAGCCTGCGGGCAGGGAAAGCTGGGGGCAATGGCCCTGAATTGGTGAGCAAGAGACAGCAGAAATACAGCTCTCTCTGCCCCTCACTCACCCTTACTGTCCCAGGTCAGGTTCTCCATGCTGTGCTCTGCTGATACCCCTCCGTACCAATGCGCAGCTCCTTGCTATTCCAGCCTTCCTCACCCCAGATTGAGGGTCAGCCAGTGTCTCATTTCTGAACCCTGTGAAGCTCCTACCACAGAGTGAGGGACCCCCATTGTGCACTAGTCTCCCCAGCCGCAGGCCCAGGCCAGTCCTATTCAGTAACCCATTTTTGCAGAGCTCCTTCTACTGTGACTTCTTCCCTGCTGTTCTGTGACACTTATCACAACTACTGCCCCTTTTGCCCCATCTCCTCTGCTCCACATCCCTCCAGGGTCGGGACAGCTCTCCCTGCTGCCTCTGTGCCTAGGCATGGGAGCCCAGGGAGACCAGCCATGCTCTCACACCTCTTTCTTGTTCTTTCAGAACGTGCTGGCCAAGGCGCTGTACGACAATGTGGCTGAGACCCCAGATGAGCTCTCCTTCCGCAAGGGTGACATCATGACGGTGCTGGAGCGAAACACGCAGGGCCTGGATGGCTGGTGGCTATGCTCACTACATGGGCGCCAAGGCATTGTGCCTGGCAACCGCCTGAAGATTTTGGTAGGCATGTATGACAAGAAGCAGCCAGCCGGACCTGGCCAAGGGCAGCCCCAGCCGCAGCAGCCCCAGCAGCTGCAGGCCCCTCAGACTTCTGTGCCTTACCATCACCAAGGAGTCTACAACCCACTGTCCCCTGCCTCCCAGTACACCCCGATGCACCCTGCTTACCCGCCCCAAGGGGACAATGTCTACCTGATTCCAGCCCCAAACAAAGGGCAGCAGGGCCTCTACCCTGGCTCTGCACCAGGGGGACAGTTTCCATCACCTCCAGCCAAGCAGCCAGCTGTGTTTCCAAAGCAGACACCTCCTCACCCCTTCCAAAGCCAAGGCCAGGAGATCTATCAGATCCCACCATCTATGAGCCCAGCCCAGGATGCTTGCCAGGGGCCTGCAGGCTCTGCAAGCCCCCCTCAGGATATTTATCAGGTTCCTCCTTCTGTTGGCTTGGGGCAGGAGATCTACCAGGTGCCCCATTCCATGAGCCAGACCCAGGAGATCTACCAGGTGCCTCCTTCGTTGGACATGAGGAACTGGGAAGGGCCGAAGCCTCAAGGAAAGGTAGAACATGTTCCTGCAAATCCAGCATGGTTCCTCATCACACTGGGCCCCATGGGCTCAGGCCTTCACAGTGCAAAGCTCTGCCCATGGAGAGGCAGGGAAGGGAACAGTCCTCACTGTGCCATAAAAACCAGACAGGGCAAGGGGAGGAGGTGGAAATTTGACTTGTGAGAATGTCTGGGGATGCTTCCGTTTCAGGCTGACTTCTAGGGTGGGGAGATGCTCCCTAGACACCCTTTCCCTAGGGAGGGGCAGGGCTCTTTGAGGCTGCTGCCTTGAAGCCGTGTTGGGGTTGGGCATTTCAGGGTGATTGGGGACCTTCTCTTCCTTGGGAACTTGCTGGCCAAGGTGGGATTTGCTGCACTGCACCAGGGCTGGGGCTGGCAGTAAGCCTGACACTGGCAGGCCCCCAGCACAGTGGCTTGGTTTGTACCAGTGTGTTGCAATATCTGGGCTCCTGGTGCTGGAGAGGGTGCATCTTGTGAGCCCGATTCTCCTTACCATTCCAGTGCTCAGATATCACTGCAGGCCACCTTTGTGTTCTCTGCATCCTGTGGCAGTACAGGAGCTGTGACCTCCAGCGTCAGTCATGGCAGCCTGAGGGTTGCTCTCACTTGTTCTCTTCCCATGACATCTCAAAGCATGGAGTGCAGTGCATGTGGGCCACATCCCCAACACACTGCCATATGGGGATCAGGAACAGGTCTCAGCCCCTACAGGGCTCATGTCCTCCTGTGAAGGTCCAGTGGAGCTGCAGAGGTGGTGGGGGTCCAGGCCCAATATGGAGAATGATGCAGCTGGTCTATCTGATCAGGCTGGGTGCTTTGGGCCTTGCTGGGCAAAGGGTCTGGTGGCACCACCAGGACCCACTCTGATTCCTTTGCCCAGGGAAAGCAGGAGGAGTCAGGTCCAGTCAGGCTGCTCCTTGTATATCACCTGTGCACAAGAGTGATATACAAGGAGTGTATATACAAAGAGTGGACAGAGAGAGCCTGTCTGGGGATCTGCATGAACACTGCTGGGGCTCCCTTCTGACCATCTGACTTCACGAGACACATTACAGAACTGTTTCAAAGCACTTGGTAGCCCCTGGCCCAAGCCCCTTAACATGGGGCCAGGAGGAAGGTGCCATCAGCTGGCAGCCTTCTGATTAGCCTGTGTGTGTTCATGGTTCACTTAGTGCTGCAGCCAGGGCTCTGACACCACTGCTGTGGAGCTTATGGCACATGGAGCATCAATGAGGTGCTTCCTTGGGCAGGTTTGTGGGCCACTATCCTTCCCTGTTTTGTGGCACCTCATTCTGGGGGCACAGCATGGGAGTCACTTGGTTCCAGTGCATCAGGGATGGGCAGGTGCCTGGCAAGGCAGATGTAGGTCTTCCTACCTCCACCCTTGCCAGCTTGGTCGCAGAAGGTTGCAGTACCTGGGCAGTTTGCTCTTGGCAGAGTCCAGACAGGGCAAGGAGGGGGCTATGGTGCACATCCCAGTGTTGGGGCTTCTGGTCCCAAGGCCTGGGGCATGGGAGTTGCTGTGGAGAGGCAACCCAGTTGCATCTGAGCTAGCAGCCAAATGCTTGGCCAGTGTGAGGGGGTGCAGCCTGGTGACCTTGCAGGATGGTGTAATTCCCAGCTCTTTCTAGCTGGGCTTCAGGCCTGATTGTCCTTGCAGCCACTCAGCCTGTTTGTCAAGGCCCAGCCCTGCACAGCTGGAATGATGTGAAAGGCACTGAGCAACCTGGCGAGGCTGAGGCTGGGCAAGCCCTGCCAAGCCTGTTAGCTGAACTATCTGGGTCTGCTACCACCTGCATTCCCTCTGCCTTCCCTCCCCCAGCCACACTGCCAGGATAGTAGGGAGATGGGCAGGGGGCAGAGGGGCTGCTGCTGTGCAGAATAACCATGGGCAGGGAGAGAGGGATTGGTACAGGTACCTCTTGCCCAGCACAGTTGTGACCAGGGCTCCATTATTCTCTTCTGTGCCAGCAAGAACAAGGCCAGTACCATAGCCTTTACCCTGGATCCCCCCAGGATCAGGTGCACCAGAACCTGAATCTGATTTTGCCCTGCATTGGGCTGGGAAAAGCCTGGCTTCAGTTGGGGAGGTTTGACTGCTGGCTGCATCTGCCAGCCAAGTGCTAATAAGCAGGCTACAACATTCCCACTTGGCCACATTTAGCCTGCATGCCCTGCAGGGGCTGTGACTCTCAAGGGGCAGTAGCTGAAATTGGAGGTGGAGAGAGGCGAAATTGGAGGTGAAGGTGGGGCTCTAGGCCTTGAGAGACATGGGGTCAAATGTCTGCTGCACTGTTCCTTCTCTGTGTGGCCTTGGGCAACTCTTAACCTTTCTGTGCTCAGTTTCGTCATCTGTTCCATGGAGGCATTAGGCATTCCCTCCTGTATCATGATGGGGTGATAAATAGTAGGGCTGCGTGAGTTGGCAGTGATCCGGCTTCGGATCTAGCCGCTTTGGATGGCCACGATCCAATCTGGAGCTCCGGACCGGGTTTCCACCTCGATCCAGCCAAAGTGGCTCCCAAGCTTTGGAGCTGCCTTGGAGATCCGGCCATAGGGTATAATGGGGAATCAATAAAATATCTATGACTTTGGGGGTTTTTTTGTCCAATTTGGATGAAACTTGCAAGGATGGTAGCCTCTACTGAGGGCATGAAACCTGCCAAGTTTCAAGATCAGTGCAGGGGTTTGGGAGGAACTCTACCCCAAGTTCTTGAAAGCCAAACTCATGTCACTGCTGTGTGTTACAATACAGGGGGGATCAAAATGGCAGGGGTGGTTGCTCTTACTGAGGCCACAAAGCCTGCCAAGTTTCAAGGAGATCAGTGCAGGGGTTTGGGGGAAACTGCCTCTCAAGCTATGGACAAGCAAAACTCGTGTCATGGGTGACACTGCGTGTGTTAAGGCGCAGCGGGGTGGCAGCTGCAGGGGTGGTGGCCCCTGCTGTGATGCCTGCCAGTTGTGGAGGGATCGGTGCAGGGGGGTTCTGGGGCCCTGCACCCCTAGCTGCTGACAGGTAAAACTCGTGCCAAGACTGTCTGTCTTGGGCCAGTTGATTGTCTGTATTGATTCTTTCCTCTCCTTAGCCTGGTTTTGTAGGTGCTAATTGATGCTCATTAAGTCGTTATGTAGTAGCTAGGTCCTGTGTATTGAGCTGGTCCCTGAGTGAATCATGATTGCTTAATTGGTAACTAGTAACACAGTAGCTTAGCAGCCAGGCCTGCAGTAGTGTCTCCCCTCCCCTCCCCAAACCAGAGACGGTCAATCCCACAAGCACCCATGGCACGAGTTTTGCTTGTCCACAGCTTGAGGGGCAGTTCCCCCCCCCCCCCCCAAACCCCTACACCAATCTTCTTGAAACTTGGCAGGCTTTGTGGCCTCAGTAAGAGCCACCACCTCTGCAGTTTTCACCCTGCTATGTAACACCTAGACGTGATGTGAGTTTTGCTTTCAAGAATTTGGGGTGCATTTTCCCCCAAACCCCTGCACTGATCTTCTTGAAACTTGGTAAGCTTCATTCTCTCTGTAGAGTCTACCACCTGGGAAAATTTCATCCAAATCAGACAAAAAACAACAAAGTTTTAGATATTTTATTGTTTCCCCATTATACCCTATGGCCAGATCTCCAAGGTGGCTCCGAACCACTTCAGGAAGCTGAACGAGGCCAGCGCTTTGACTGAGACATGCTGCTTCAGACCCCGGAGCATCCGAAGCTTCTCCAGATCCGAAGCTCTGTCCAAAGCCTCGCACAGCCCTAATAAATACTAGGGCTGTGCGAAGCTTTGGTAGCCGATTTAATTTGGAGGAGATTCGGCCTGATTCAGGGACCGAATCTCCAAATCTGAACTGAATCGGGAGACCAATTAAAAGCTCTGAATCGATTTGAAGTATCCGAATTGTCCCAGCCTCCCGCGGAGGGTTCGGGATAGAGAGTATGGTCGAGGGTAGAAAGGTAAGAGATTTATTGACTTAACAAAAACGCAACTACGCATAGTAACAAGACAAACAATGACAGACAAAAGCAATTCACGTCGGCAACTTATCAGCAGTCCCCTCTGATGCCTGATACACAGCAAGCTTCTCTTTCCTGAACAGAACTGTCCAATGGGGTACTGGGAAGGACCCTGGAATGCAGTCCTTGGGCTCCTCGAGGTCCACGGGCCCACTGATCCAGGCAACAGCTCCTTTTCACAGAACTGTATCTTCCTACTGAATGGTTTTCAGATATTTCAGCCAATTTAAAGCTTCTGAGTGGTTCTGATAACGTACAACCACTCAGATTCCTTTTACTTCAACTGTCCTTAGACTGACCAATTAGCAGTACAAGCCTTGCATTCCTTTGAAAGGAAATTTTAATTATGCCACAAGGCCTTACTACTTCAAGGCTTTGCTAAATTTACTAGGCCTTACTTTATACAAGGCCTCACTACATCTTAAAATTTAAGCCTGTGGACCAGGCTGAGGGCTCACAAGGCTGGGGTGGGGAGGAGTGGTTTCTTCAGCCTTTTCCCTAAAGAGCCTCAATTCTCAACCCAGTTCAGGGCAGGGAACGTGTGGATTTTGTGTCAGGTGTTCTCATTGCTCACACAGCTGAGCTGGGACTTGAGCCCTAGCTCTACATTTGTTGGCTGCCATGAAGCCTGGATCTGAGTGCCCCAGGAGCTAGGCCCAGCTGGGGCCTTAGGCTGGCTCTGGGCTTTGTGCAAGGCAGGAGCCCTTGTCAGGGGCTAGAATTGTGCTCTGTTTTTAGTTGAGT